GATAGTTACCCTTTAGGTTTATTGTTGTACCTGTCACTAGTAAGTGCACAGTACATGCTAGAAAATTTTATATTTCTTTGCAAATAATTTTATAAAGATATATAGATAATATTTTCCTAATTTTGCTAATAAATCTAACAATTTTGTTCTTGCTTATCGTATACGCACATATAAATATTTCCCATATAAAATATGCAATACTCTTTTGCCAAAATTCAGTATACTAGCTACTTCAGAATTAGTTCATTGTGATTTTTTTCAAAGGACTGTAGCTCCACAGACCTCTGTTTTCTATAGTCAGAATGAATCCTAGAAGACTTTAGAATGCACTGAATTTTCAGGTGATAGACAGTGTGGGGTCGTGGAACAGGTGTTCCGGTAGCATCAACTGTAGGGGGAAGCTGGACATTGTATTTAAGAACCAAATACAACTCAATATGTAAAACTTAATAGAGTTAAAAATTAGATACTGAAACTTTCCTGTTTTCTTAATCCCTATCTAATAAAAGCAAAAATTATATCTATAAATAGCAGAGTCTGTATGCTTAGTGATCAAACAGTGTCCATCCCATCCTGTTCTTAGATAAAATGACATGCTTATCTCTACAGTTTCTTGGCCTTTCTAGACAAACAGAAAGGAATTCTCACAGAGGAAGTGAAGTTAGCTGTTAATGGAACATTTCAAGAAAGGAAGGTGGGTAAATGTTGTTTTCCAGTTAGTATCTTTCAAAAAAGTGAATACAGACATGTTAAATTAATGGGGTAAAATCTGAGAATTATAGAAAGGGAAATTAAAAATTAAGAAAATAGATGAGAAATTACTTTGTCTTCTAAAATCTGTCAGGACATATACTCTTCAGTCATGGTCACCACACACTTCTTTGCACAAGTCATTATGACAGTATAGTTGTGTATGTGTGTGTGTATGAGTGTGTGTGTGTGAAAGAGAGAGAGAGTAGGAAATTACAGGAAAGAGCCACATTAGCAGAATACTATATCTAGTTTAAAGCACTATAATATCTGGATTCTCTTTGAACCACCTGGAAAGCTATGAGATAGGCTTATAGAGTGTAAAAGGTGAGAAAGTGACAAGGGTGGAATTACCAAGCTAGTTCCTCCTCTGGGATTGATTAATGGTGCCATTTTTGGCAGGTAAGGAAGGGATAATAACACCTACTTTGCTACCTCACAGCATTGCGTAAACAAATCAAAAGAGCTAATGAATGGCAGATTGTTTTGAAAGATGTGGAAGGTGATTTAATTGTGAGGGACTTTATTTATTAAACCCTTGTGATCACCAAGGATATCTCTTCATAGAAAAAGAGAAGATTTGAACAATGATCTGATAACTTTGGATTTTGAAAGTGACTTTTGGCTTCAGTGACATTACTGGTCTACAAAATCTTGTTAACTTCATAGTTTTCTCATGTCTTTCCTCTGTGTCAACATCCTTGATGTGAATTCAAATTCTGGGCTATTTGATGCTTGTATTGAATTGTAAAGATTATACTTTTTATAACCTAGCTCTATTCCTATTTAATGAGAGGAAAAGGGGTTCTACATGTTTGATGAATAATTGAAAGAGTTGAAAAACAAAAGAATTCTATAGAATTTAAGAAAAGTACTCTACTAACCTGCTATAAAAGCATTCTGATAACCCAAACTCCAATTCTCTAAAACCTCAGTCCCATTCATTTGAATTTAAATTCTGTGATTTTCAGAAACGAGGCATGATTAACAGAGTTATGTGATGAATCATCTCTGGATTTACAACATTCCTGAAATGAAATGGAGAAAAATCTCTGATGCCTGATGCCAGCTGACTTATACTTCCAATATTAGGGGTGCTCACTGAATCTTCTTGTGGCTACCTTCTCCTCTTAGAAGAGGTTATCAGTTCCAAACCTCTTATTCATCATTTCAGAAGGTTCTGGGTGTCAGTGAGGAACTCTTCCCCAGTAAGAAGGAAACCAACTCCTTAAACCTTTCCTCATAGCAGAGATTCTTTAGGCTTGGAATCATCTTTTGGTTCTTTTGTTCCACCCTAGCACCACTTCCACTACTGGGAATACTATCCATTCGTGCTAGATTGGGGGTTCATCACAGCATGTTACACAGTCACCAGTTCTATTGTAAGGCATTAAACTTTTCAACCACCAATAACAGAGTGTATGCTTGGGACACATTTCCTATGGTCTAACAGAGCAGATGAAAAATAAAAAATTAGCATTGATATGTCAATATTTAGAAGAGGCTTTTACAGAGAGAGATAATGAATCAATCCTGATTGAAACTTAGCAATGACTTTGGCAAGTTGTAAACAGCTAATGCTTTGATTTGTTTAGGGTATTGTGGTTTAGAATACAATGACAAAATGAAAAAGAGAACTTACATCTTGACTTTTCAATTTCACTTCAGAATGTGTTGGGAGTGTATTCTATGCTGAGTAAACTTAAATCTGTCGTTGAGGTCCAAGTTCAAGAGATGTTGACTTTTCTTGGAATCTTAGAAATTACCTAGTATAACCACATCATTATAATGACGTAAAAATTGAAATCATTCTAAACATTACACACACACACACACACACACACATATGCACATGAATTACCCCTAACCCTTACATCAATTGTACAATGTAGTTTTATTATCCCTGTTTTTTGTTGTAGGAAACTGAGGCTGAGAGGAAACAGGTGACTTGCCTAAGGCAACATAGCCGGTGATTGGTAAGTCAAGATTTGGGCCCAGATCTACCACGCTCCAAAGCCAGGTTTGTTTTCATTACACTGTGTAGTGCGAAGACAGGAACAGAAACGAATTTCCTGACTCCCTGTCCCATTCTTTTTCTATTAAGTTATGATGGATATCAATTTTCTAACCTGTAACAGTAGTGCAAGTTGAACTTGCTTTCCATGGCACTAATTTTACTAAACCTTTGAAAAGAAACAAAGCTAATAGCGCACACTTTAAAACTAATGATTATATTTTTATAGGAAATAAACTACTTTATGGAAAAAAAAGGAAATACTCTGACTTTGACGGTATTCAGAATATTGGCATGATCCCAACGTCGGCTAGCCTTAGATTAATTTTCTGGAAAAATTTTAAAAGGTCTTTGATCCCATAAAGCCCAAAACTTTCCTTCTATGGAGGTGGAGACCCTGTGGAGTACTGGAATCAAACTATTTGGCTCTAGCTTCAATTGTCCTTTCATACTTCTTCGGGGTGCTTTCTTGAGCTGGTAGAGTAAAATAAGCTGGTAGACAAAAGATGTTCCTTGTAGAATGGAAGAAGGAAGAAGAAAAAAATACTTTCTCTAGAAAGATGTTACATTTTATATTTATAATTTTTGATACAATGGTCCCCGCTATCCGCGGTTTTGTTTTCCATGGTTTCAGTTACCTGCAGTCAACTATGGTCCAAAAATACTGAAGAGAAAATTCTAGAAATAAACAATTCATAAGTTTTAAATTGCACGTCATCTTCTGAGTAGCATAATGAAATGTTGTGCCATCCTGCTCCATCCCACGCTGGACGTGAATCCTCCCTCTGTGCCTTGTATCCATGGTGTATCTGCTACCTGCCCGTTAATCACTTAGTAGCCACCTCAGTTATCACATCGACTGTCGCAGTATCGCAGTGCTTGTGTTTTACTTAATAATGGCCCCAAAGTGCAAGAGTAGTGATGCTGTCAATTCGGATAAGTCAAAGAGAAGCCATAAAGTGCTTCCTTCAAGTGAAAAAGTGAAAGTTCTCAGCTTAATAAGGAAAGAAAAAAAAATTGTGTGCTGAGGTCGCTAAAATCTACCATAAGAACAAATCTTGCTTCCATGAAATTGTGAAGAAGGAAAAGGAAATTCGTGCTAGTTTTGCTGTTGCACCTCAAATACGTATATGCAGGAAGAAACATAGTATATATAGGGTTCAGAACTATCCACGGTTTCAGGCATCTGCTGGGGGTCTTGGAACACATCCCTCATGGATAAGGGGTGACTACTGTATTTTATTTCTTCTTTTTTTCTTGGGAGACTAAATAATGAGGCAATACAGGAGTAAACTTAATTTTGGGGAATGAGCCAAATTTTTCAAACAGTAATTTGAGGAGTGATGGGCTGTGGAAAGTTAAACCTTGAGTTTCCAATGTTTATGATTATGATGTTTGCTTAGACTATAGGATAAGGCTTTAGAATATAAAATATCCTTCAGACTGAGAATTTTTAAAAGTAGTTATGTGCAAGCTTTGATTTCATATAGTTTCTGCCTTTGCTAACGTGATTAGTGAAGCAGTGTGGAGTTGAAAAAATGTTGAACTTGTGGTCTTCTTCAAGTGCCTCCTCTGCCTCTTCTGTCTAAACTGCATGTTCTTGGGAAAGTCATTGCTCCTTCCCTGAGTTTCTGTTTCCCTATGTATTCAATGTTAGAATTTTGGTAGGTTATCTCTTAGGGTCGTTCAACTCTAACTTATACATGGGTATGTGACACTGAATTGAGACACTTCAGAACATCCTCAGATAAAGCAACAGGAATCCTAGCTTCCTTTACAATAATCAGCTTTCTCCAGAAATGGAAATCTTTAAATCTTTGTCTGACTGGTAGGACAACCAATCTATCTTCTTTTTCCCTCCCATCCCACTTATAAAAGGAGCCCAGTTAGAAACATGTTTGTCTACAAGGTAAGATGTCTTGTCTGGTGTTGCTGAGGAATTCAGTTCTTGTATAGGATATAAGGAGTATCAAACTTTGAGTAGGGTCCTTGGACTCAATCTGTTGCCTTTCAGGGGAGATATCATGAAAACACATTAGAACTACTTCAGAAATGGACACTATCTGTTAAAATCTGCCACCTTGACAGGATCCGAAAGGATGGAAGCTAAATTGACGTGGTATATTAAGTCTAGCACGACCTTGAACAACTGGTTTTGTAATGTTGCTTCTTGTTGTGGGTGTCGCCGGTGTTTGACGGTATATATAATAGTGAGCTGCATCTCCACGGGTTCAGTCTTAAAGCACCAGCTGGCGAGCAATGCATGGAGCAGATTTGTAACCAACTTACATCATCTTCAACATGAAGATAGCCACAGTGCCACTGCTTCTGACCCTGGCTCTTTGCCTCATACAAGGTGAGCAATTTGCATGTAATCTAAGCCTCTTGCCACACATAAAAAGCCCCGGACAGGCACTTGTCTCCCTACTCCCTTCCTAAACATATATGTATATATATATACATATATATGTAATCTTGAAATATCTTGCCAGGTACAGAGTTTTGAAGAATTATATATGTGGCTTTATAACTATGTTGTTATCTTTAGAAATGGCAAGTAGTTTGAGATCATCCGAATTTTTATCCATGAGAAATCCTTCCATTAATTCTACATTAGTTCTGAAAACCTAATATGCTTTTTTATCTTCTCCTCACCAAGCATATCAATTCATACTGATAGGAATTATGTATATAATAGATATTTAAAACTTAGATGTATCTAATATATATTTATTTTAATACTATAAATAAATAAAACATTAAAAATTCCAATTCAGTTATCAATTCTTATTTTAAAGCAGTAGTGTCTTCTAGCATGTTTTATTTTTGTGTTTTCAAATCCTAAGTGGATTGGAAGTATTTCTCCTAAAGAGTAAGGGACTTTTGTGGGAGCCGGGAATTAGGGTTTTGCATTCGCTACTTGAATTTGAAGGGAACATGCCTAGATCGCCTAGACTTACCTTTCTCTGAAGGCTTTATATTTATTAAAAGCAATCCTCAGAGATGGATAGTCAGGACATCATTATACACAAATGATGTTCACTTTCCTTTGTGTATAAGTGTGCAGGTACAAAAAGGAGCCTGTTAATGAGAGAGTATAATAGTCTGTGATTTAAATTCATCTTAATTTTTATCAGATCTCTAATTTTTGCAGCTGTAATGAGGAGGCAGAGTTACCAGAATTCAGAACATTTAATTTTACATGTATATATGATATAAACTTTAGGCTAATTATACTTTTAAATTACAATTGATATGATATGTTTGATATGTAATAATTTTATCAAATTCAAAATGTTGTTAAACTTAAAAATTATTAACATTACCATGAAATTAAATTAGTATTATTTTCCAAAGTAATTGGAACTTTCTGAGTGATTAGACCTTTATGAGTGCATATGCTGATGCCCTGGTGCAGTGCCCTCATTTTACTTTCCATGGTAAATTTTAGTATGTTCAAAAACAATTTGTGGTTTTGCAACATATGGCTACTAAAATAAGCAAAACCCTGCACTGAGTGAATTGTTTGTTTTACTCATTAAATATTTTACATTCTCTTAACTTTGGTTTCTGTATTTTTGTCCCAGATGCTGCCAGTGAGGATGAAAATCAGGTTAGTCCTGCTTTTTCTGTTCATTGAATCCATTCCAAGGTCCCTAAAGAGAAATGGTTTGTGGCCAACACCTTCACGTTAATAGCACAGACATATTATACTGATGGGCACTAATTGCTTTTGTTAAAAACACAGAAACAGATCTTTATGAATCAAGGCATGAATCACACACACACACACACACACACACACACACACAAATTAACGTATTAATGATACTGGATTTCTGCAAGAGGCAATCTACCATGCTAAAGGAGTGCTTTAAATTTCATAAAGAAACTAGCGCATTCCTACTGTTCAGTTTAACAGCTGAAAAAGTCATGACACATATAGGAAGCTGAAGTAAGTTTTCCTATGATCCTTATGCAAAAAAGAGTTGTCTGTATCTTGTATATAGTCAGTGTGTATATTTCATTCAATAAATATTTACTGAGCATCGATTATGTGTCAGATCCTGTCTGAGATGCTGGGGATATTCTAAAGTAAAGAAAACAGAAAAGAACCCTGCCTTCATGGAGCTTATATCTGAGGAAAACAGACATGCTAATAAGTAAATTAGTAAAATATATATTACATTAAATAATGATTGATGCTATAAGAAAAATAAAGCAAGATGGAAGATAGGAATTTCTGGGGATGCAGGTGGTATCAATCCTTCTTGGGATAGTCAGGTAAGTTCTCCCTGAAAAGACAGCATTAGAACAAGGATCTGAGGGTGATGGGGGAGTGAGTGGTGAAGATATTTGCAACTTATAGCAAACTGGGCAGAAGCCCCTGACTCTGGAGGGTGCTCCACCAACTCTTAGAGGTCTTTTGTTTGAGAAATAAAAGAATCATTTCTATAAAAGTTAAATTTTTTTATCTATTTGAAAAAAAAGTTGAAAAGGCCAATTACACAGACACACACACACGCATACACTACACACATACAACTATGCCCTTAACTCAGCACTTAAAACAGTGCTAGGGACATAGCAAATATTTGCTATGTCTCTCAGGAGCCATGAACATTAAAATAATACACCAGTAAAACAACCCTTTTCCACACCAAAACTCTTAGAACTATGGTTAAAATACTCTCTTGCAGTATTTTATTACAAAAATTTTTTAAAAAGGAAACTTCTTATAGGAATGTTGTAGAGAATTTCATTATAGTTTCTATTATTTCATCTAAGTTTCTCTTATTTCATCTAAGTTTCATTATATTATTTCATCTAAGATTAAGGAGAGATTCAGAAACTTCTATGGTATAAGTAAAGTGGTATGGTAGAATAGAAAAAAAGGCTGGAAATTTGGCAATCAAAGAGCATGTTCGCTTGGATGTTTTATATTTGCAAAAAGCAGAGTTTTGTGTAAAGCTCACTGTGCATGAAGCCATATTTTCCTTTCCAGAGTCTATGATAATGGGCGATGATTTCCAGTGGATATTTCGAATTTTGCATTGATTTTTCTTGTGTGTGTGTCAGGAGATCAGCCCTGTGCTAACATCTGCCAATCCTCCTCTTTTCTTTTTTCTTTCTTTTTCTTTTTTGCTGAGGAAGACTGGCCCTGGGCTAATATCTGTGCCCATCTTCCTCCACTTTATATGGGACTTCGCCACAGCATGGCCTGCCAAGCAGCGCATCGGTGTGCGCCCGGGATCCGAACCGGCGAACCCCGGGCTGCTGCAGCAGAGCGTGCAGACTTAACCACTTGCACCACCCAACCGGCCCCTGCACTGATACTTTTTATACCATTAATCTCTATTTTACTTAGAAATGTTTTTGAAAACATAAGTTTAGCCACTTCCTTTGTTCACATAAGCAAGAGGATCACAAAGAAGTAATTATTTCTCTGGAAATATTTCTTAGTCTGGATATTTTTTCAGAAATGAAAACTATTGATTTAGTCTTTCTCATGGTGCTGGAATTTTTCTTTTCCAAGTTCTGTAGCTTAAGCTCTTTCTAGTACTATAAAAGTGTATTGAATGTATAAACATGAGCCAAAACAGCACAAAAAAGCCCTGTGGTAATCTGGAAGGATCTTGACCATACGCTGAAATTTGTCATCACAGAAGCAACCCGGTTAGCGCTGTAACACAGAGAAAGGGGGATGCCAGCTCCTTGGCGTTTTATTATGATGTCTGGGGAGGAACAATGGAAGACAGCAGGCTATATCACACCAGTGAAGGAAACAGAAAGAGCTTGGCCCAGAGGGCTCCAGTTTTTCTGAGACATGTGGAGAAAACACCAACAGCAACAATAACAAAACAAAAATGAGCCAAAGGTTGGAAGTTAGACTGCAAGTAAACAGTTGCTGAAAAGTTATCTCCCTACCTCAGGACGCCTTTTTGGTCTAGATCTGCCCCTGTTTCAACCTCTCTATTATGGTAATTGGGATGATATTATATTTTTCCCAGAGAAAAACCCAACAGCTGCTTTCGGTTTTTATGGGCTTTTCCTGTTTCCCAAGAGGATACATTGAATAATTTCATAACTCAGAAAAATAGCTTTGAGGTCTATCTTAAGTAATTAGACACTGTGAACAAATTTCTTAACCTTCTTTCTGGGCCTTGTTTGTCTGTTTGTAAGAAAAGTGGGTCTTTCTAGGAATTAGGTGCTCATCTAATTGTGACATCGGAGAAATCCAATTCAGGAACTATCCTGATTGATAATATTCTTTTTCACTTGACCACTAAAAACTATTTAAAGCTTCTTTCTAGTGTTGTCATGAATCTTTGTTTTCAATACTTTCTTTAAGACTCACCTCACAAGGGTTATATTTGTATTACAAAGACACCAGACTCTTCTCTGATTCTATAACAAAGTTTTTGTCTAGACTTTATAGAATCAGTTATATTTGGCAAGCTAAGCAGTAACTTGCAACGTTGGCATAAGATACTATAGAGTCAGAGACCAGACACGGATCTCAAGATGCCCAGTTGTCAGTCTGTTGCGGAAATTATTACTGTGCTACTCAGATAAGATCACTGGGTGGTAATAATAATCTTTTGTATTTTGTATTTTGCTAGGTCACCCTTAGCAAAATTTTCCAGGGCTGGTCTCTGATATTATTTAGTCACTCTTCTTCACCATTAATCATTCTGCAAGTGCTACCAACTGCCTCCAATGGTTAAGAGGCTAGGTACATCATTATCCATTAGAGGATGAGCACCATTTAGGCTAGGGTCCTTCTGCCTTATTTACTGCTATACCCACGGCACCTAGTAAAATATAGTAATCTCATAATAAGTGTTTGTTGACTGATTGAATGATTATTATAAAGATATAGAAAGCTGAATAGAACTCTATAATCAATCCTTTGGAAGAGGCTGTATAAGTCAGAGTTGGCGCAAAGGCTTAATTTTTTTTCTGCTATGAGAATCTTGTAGCAGTATTTCTTTTCGGCAAAATCAAAACAAAACAAAAAACAAAAAAAACTTTAGATTCCAAAGGCTTGTTTTAAAGGTCCAGTCAATTTTCTAGACTAATAGAGAATATAACATTTTAAATCAGTACTTTACCAGGTAGTGCAAACACAACATTGATTTTAAGCTTCTAGAAGAGAGTGAGTCACATATACCAAATCTTCAATAATACATATTGAACCTTCCAACAACCTTTTCATTTTCCTTTTTACAGCAATTGTTATTGATCTACTGTGTGCTAGGTATTTTATATGTGTCATCTTAGCATAGTCCAGTAATAATAATGACTACAGCAACAACAGTGACAATAATAATAAAGGAAGAGAAAGAGATGAGGAGGAGAATCTACTTATTGATTATCTGCTATGTATCAGGCAGTCTTTGAGGGCTGTTAGTTGTTGTTAGTGGTAGAGTTGATTCCTAGGGACCCTGTGTGCAGCAGAGTGGAACCCTGCCCGGTCTTTTTGCCCCACACTCTCACCTTCGGTGCTACATCAGACAATAATCTGCTGCTATGCATAGGGTTTTCATAGCCATTTATTTTGGAAGTGGGTGGCCACTTCCTTCTTCCTAGTCTGGAAGCTCCACTGAAACTTATCCCCTATGGTGACCCTGCTGGTATTTGAAATTCCAGTGGCATAGCTTGCAGCATCACAGCAGCACGCAGCTGCCACAGTATGATGATGGAGGGCTTAACGTACGTATAATATTTAACCCTCACAAAATCTATGAAACGTACTTATATCTACTATTTTTACAGATGTGGTAAGTGAGACTTTGAGAAGTTAATTTGCTAAGGCTATTGGGTTTGTAAATGAGACACCTGGAATATAAGCTCAGGTCTTTTGACACCGAGTCTCTTGTTTTTTCCATTTCACTAATCGTTTTTTTATTTTTTTGTGAGGAAGACTAGTCCTGAGCTAACATCCGATGCCAAGCCTCCTCTTTTTTGCTAAGAAAGACTGGCGCTGGGCTAACATCCGTGCCCATCTTCCTCTACTTTATATGGGATGCCGCCACAGCATGGCTTAACAAGCGGTGTGTCGGTGCCTGGCCGGGATCCGAACCGGCGAACCCCGGGCAGCTGCAGCGGAGCGCCGCGCACTTAACAGCTTGCGCCACCGGGCTGGCCTCATCACTAATAGTTTTAAATGAATGCTTATTAAGTGAATTTGCAATCTCCAACAGACAATCCAGAGTCATTATTTTTATTTGTATTATTTGTATCAACTGAGCAAATGTCTTCCATACAAAGTAGGTAGTGGTCATTAAATAATATTGCTCAAGGAAGTTCTTCTAGAAGATAAAGTCTTGCTTTGATGAGGTTTTGGTAAACACAACTCTTTTTCATCTTTTCCTTAGGAAACATGCAATGAATATCGGGCCATGATGAAAAATGGAAAATTGTTCTGTCCTCGAGATAAAAAATTTTTTGAAAGGCCTGATGGAATAATGTTCATCAACAAATGTACCACATGCAAAATGATATTGTGAGTAAGCACTTGTTTTCTGTTAAATATATTTTTCCAAATATAAATGCTTAAGTAAAGATACTTAGCAGATCACTCTGACACCTCTAATTAGGGAAAGTTAGACAAGTGCCACCTACCTGGAAAGATTTAATAATCACTCAAACGGTATTCCACAACATCCCAGAGGGCTCAGTATTAATACCTTATGTAGCACTTAATAGCTTTTTGAGGATGTAGCTTCAATTAGAGTTTCCTAGCTCTGGGAAAAAAGACTTTAAGAAAGAAAGTCAGATTTTTTGGGCCTGTAAAGACCTGACTCTGTTGTACCTCCGGGACTGAGAAAAGCTCCTTGCAAATGATGCCAGACTCTCCTTGTGGCAGCCAACGAGCAGAAGGAGTTAAGCAGGATACGCCCTGGCTCTGTGAGCTGCCATGTCTTCAGACATCTGGGATTATGCTAGGATGAGATGAACCAGAGTTGATTGTAGCAACCAGGAAAGAATTAGTATCTTGGAAGTTTACCAACATCTATGCAATGCTTCTTAACTTAATTTCCTTCTCTCCAATGACATCCTAGAGGTGGAAGAAGGCTTGAGTTATCAATTGCAATTCTCAACTCATGGCGTCCTAATTTGTTTTTGAACAAATTAGGAGATCATTCTCAATTTCTGACTACCATCAAAACTTCGACACTGGTAACAAGCCGTTACTAAGCTTACTTATTTAAGACAATTATGTTATAATTAGTTTTTAAAATGCCAGGTTTTTATGTGTCAGGGGATTTAATTTGACAATCAATAAAACTGGGATAATAAAGCTCTGATCACATGTGCTACTTCTGGTGAAGAGACTGTGGGAAGATGAAGGCAGGCAGGGCAAGATTTAGGGTGGGAGGCGGCCCAGGGCAGGTTGAATAATGCTTTCTTACTTTCTTGAACTCTGAATGTAAACCAGCAGGTGTATTCACTATAAAGTTTCCTTCTTGTTACATAGGATGTTTTGATAGGGGACTGAAACTATGAATATAATAAATTTATTGAAAATTAATTTAGAACAAAAATAAAATGCCTTAAGACACGCAAGGCAGTTTATCCCTTTGAAGTCACTCACTCAATTATTATTTTTCTTACCTGTGTAAATTATGTTGGGAAAAACTTTGTTTCTTAACTTGGAAAGAAAGAGACTGTATGAGGCATAAAAGCTATCCTCAAATTGGTAAATTTGCTCTGTGGGTCCTTACAGGTTGGAACCAGGACTAAAACAGGCAGGTAGATTTTGGCTCAATATGAATATGGTCTTTCAAAGAGAACATTCCAACAATGGTACAGATGGCTTTTAGAGTGGGTGAGCATCTGGATGTTAGAAGTATTTAAGAGGGGGTAGCCTGTTATGCAGTTAAAAGTAGAGATTCTTGCTTTCAGTAGAACCATGTTTGAGATACTTTTCCGTACTGATTAGAGATTTGTGGTACTTGTGCTTATTTCTTGACACTCCACTTCTAACACAGCAGATTGGGCTGAGGAGAACAGTCAGAATTAAGTTTACTATGTATGCTGGTATCCCTAAAAGTTGGGCAAGCATGCCTAATCTCTGCTATTCCTTGCTCTCTTCCAGGGAAAAAGAAGCAAAATCTCAGAAAAGGGCCCAGCATTTAGTCAGAGACACCAGGGCCACTGCCTCAGCAAAGGTGAGACTATTTGGAGTCAGGTTGTCATACTTGCTTTTGAGATTATCTTTGACTCTCTTTAGAACTATCTGTTTATTTCCTAATTACTAGGTTGTACCTGGTCTGAAGCCAACTACTTAGAAGGGAGGGAACATGGCTTAGTCCAGGGGTGGGCTAAATATCTGGCACAGCTTGTCCATAGGCCCGACCCATGACCCAACTCTCTGAAAACATTTTGGGCACTGACAGACGCTAAGAGGTGGAGTAAGCCAGGGTGACGTCTGCCTTCCATAGCCGCTTCTCATTCCTCCTGTCTTGTATTAGCTCCAACAAGAGCCTTCACAGGACTGTAGAAAACTAAGTTCTATGTCACTTGGACAATCGTGTATCTCTAGGTCTCAATTTTTTCATCTGTGAAATGGAATGTGGATCAAATGAGAAATTAAGTTTAAAAAGCCAGCTAAAGTATTTAACATGTGCTAGCAAGCATTTGACTCATTTTATTTCCATTTTCTTGTCTTCTTTTACGTCCTTCTGTACATCTTTTCTAAAACACCTGAAGAGTTGCCCTAATTCAATTCAAGTTGCTTGTTTATATCTATTTGGCAGATTGGGATTCAGGCTAATATTTGTTTGAGAAAAGTATTCTGTCCTAAAAAATTAAAAAATGAAAGAAGCTACAGAGAAGCTGTATCATACGATTTCACTTTATAAATATTTTTTATATTTATTCAAAAATTTTTTTTATTTATACAAAAAAATTAAAATTCTAGGCCCAGTGGGGGAAATTTCTGGTCTACAATGTCTCACAATAAGTTATTGCCAAAGCTGAGGCTATCACTAGGTGTCCTGACAACTACTCACATCATTCCAGGTCTCCTATGTAGCTTATTCTCCAATATCTTCTTTCTCTTCTCCCTTTCCTAGCCCTGACACATAATTAAAATGATCAGTCAGGGCAGGCACTCCTAAATTACTTAAATATCCCTGGTCTAACCAAGCTATCATCTTCCTCCTCAGTGTTACTCAAGAATGTCTGAGAACCTCAGCCTCTGTAGTAAATCTAGTCAACCACATTCTTTGCCTGGGCTCAACCAGTCTCACTTTTAAAACAATAACACAGTCACCACTCAATTGGTCAATCACTGCAAATGCTTTATCTGCACAAAAGGGAGCTGCTTCTGTGCTCTACAAAATCTGTGGAGGTCAGAAAAGTTTACTACTAACTTTGAAATCTGCCTTTATTTGTCACATTTAGAGAGAGGCTCATTCTGTAAGACCCATTCTCCCCTTCCTCCTCCTCTTTTTTCTTCATGGAAAATTGATAGATAAGTGATGTTTAAAAATATAAAATACAAGCAAATAACAAACAAATAAATGAAATAAACACACACACAAACACACACCCCAATCCTGACAAATCTGCTATTTTTAAAATATTACTAGTCAGATGTTTTCATATGTAAACTTACATTTACTGAATTTTAATCAAATAAGATTTTTAAGAAAAAAAATTATAGAATTTTAAGACATTATACTTCTCTCTTAACATTTTATGCCTGAGTTATAATTTTCACTTCTAGGTAAAGTTCTTATGGTTATGTGTTTTGCTACTTAGGAAACTACTTACTTATGAATTAAGGCAGTTAATACTTGGCTATGTGCCTTTCAGGTACTTTCTGTCTAGATTTTTACTTGTCTGTGCTTGAATGAATTCATGCAATTACAATTTGTTTTTGTTGTTATTTTTTTCTCCACCTTAAAAAAGAAAAATATACCCACTTTCTATGCTTAGATTCCTCCCATCAAAAATCAAGCCTGAAACTCACTCTCAGAATAAGGTGTTCTACCTGTTCAAGAGTTTTCCTCCTACAGGCATCCTCTCTCTTGCATCATCAATTTCTTCCTCACTAGTATGTCATTCTTTCACCTCCCAACTCTAATATCCAATCCAACAAGTCTTGTTGGTATTGCCTCCAAAGTATATTCCAAATTCATCTCCTCTTTTATCATTTCTATTTCTACCACCCCAGTCCAGTTCTTCATAATTTCTTATCTCTAACATATTTGGTTCATATAGAGACTTGTATTTTTTAATTGGTTGATTCATTCAATGTTTCTCATTGATTTAGGTTGCCAACTTTGTAGGATATTAAGTTCATATATGTATACATGTATGTTTCTGAGTTCCATATTCTGTTCAGTTTAGTTCATTGCTTTAATACTAATAAGACAAGTTCTCTTTCTTAGTTCATCTTTTTCAGAGTTGACTTACCTATGCATAGATACCTATTTTTCCACATATTTATTAATAATAAAAAGTTTACTGAGTTTATGAAAAATCCAACTTGAATTTGGGAACCCGATGTGATTAAGGATACAAAGAATTCATAAATTAATTTGAGTAAAATTGACTTTTTATAATATTATCCTGCCCAACAAGAGCGCAGACTACCTTATCATTAATTCGTATAATCTTTGTGTACTTTATGAAATCTATAAAGTATTCTCCACAGAGATTTTTATAATTTTTGCTATTACCTTGAAAATGTGTAATTTTATTGCTATTTTGATGGATATTTTGTTGTTTACAGGGTTTCTATCTGGTTATTGTTGGTATAGACAAATTTACAAGTTGATCTTACATTCAACAACTTTATCATATCTTGTGTTAATTCTGCTAGTTTATCTATTAATTCTATTTCTTTTTCTGGGTAGTTGATTACATTATCTGAGTATAATAAGAAATAATAGGGGTTTTATAACTTCCTTTGCAATCTTGTCATTCCTTTATTTCTGTTTATTTCCTTATATCATTGGTCAGGATCTAGATTTTAACAGCTAAACAGTAGTGATGACAATGAACATCAAACTGCCCTCTCTCCTCCCATATTAAAGGAAATACATCTAAAGTTCTCCTTTAAGTATAATGTTTACTGCAGGTGTTTTTTTCTTTAAACTTTAGCAAGTTTAGGAAGTTCCTTTCTGTGCTTAATCTTTTGAATGTGTCTTGATTATTATCAACTGCCTTCTCTGCAACTAATGAAATAATTTTCTGATTTGTCTCTTTCAGTCTATTAATGTAATAAATTTCTTGATAATCTGCTAATGTTAAACCATTATTGTTTTCTTAGGGTAAAAGACACTTAACCATAATATATTTTTTCATACACTGTTGAATTTGGATAGTTATTATTCTATTTAGAAAATTTGAAACTACTTTTATAAGTAAAAATGAGTCTATACTTTCCCCTTTTTAATTATCTTTATCTGGCTTGGGAATCAATATAAAACTACCCTGAAGGGTGGCACTTCAGGCTATGGCTGAATAAGGAGCTCAGCAAATCCTTTCCCCCAAAAGCAACTAGAAATCTAGATAAAATTGGCCAAAACAAGTATTATAGCATTCTGGAAATTGCCTAGCAGCCTATGTTAATCTGACAGGCATTTATGCTTGAAAAACTGCTCACTTTGGATTGGAACAACGGGAGTCTGTGATATTCTTGCTTAGGAATACTTACATCTCAGCCCTGTCGCTTGGTTGGTATGGAGGGTCTACCAAAGTAGGGCAGGCTATGAGGGTCAGCAACTACACTGCCATTGTTGAAAGGGGCTTACCTAATTTGGAGTAGTGGGCAGCAATCATGCCTAGAGATGTTTTTGGTGGAAGTCATGGTCTTTGCAAAGAGTAAGGAGGATGACCTGAGGTAGTAGCATGGTTACAGCAAGCATATTTTTGGCTGAATATTCGTACTTGGGCAGCAGAGATCAAATAGGGACAAAGCAATTCACAAAGTCCTTGCTGACCACAAGGCTGTGCACAAGCACTTAGAAGACACAGAAAAAATCCTGTTGGAAAGCAAATGCTGGGGTAGATGTAAAAATGGCCCGGACTTTGAATGCCCTTTCCCCTATACAAAGGCTTATCTGTAGAGGATGGAAGCCTTACTGGCTTGAGCACAAGCTGTGTCTAATCATTGGCCAACTGCTAAGTTATACAGATACAGGGGTTAAAAAACCTAGAGAGCCAGGCTTAAAAAAAATAAAAACTGTGAACATTTTCTTAGTAGCCATGTCAACAGCTGCACACTATAGGAGAGTGAGAAATCAGAGATTTAGCCCAGCCAAAGATACAAACAAACGCTATAAAACACCAAAAAAATCTTTATGTTAAAATCATAATTCTGAGTCCCTACAATATATTACCCAAAATGTCCAGTTTTCAACAAAAATTATGAAATATGCAAAGTGAATGAATAGAATCACAGAGTCCTTGAGATAACAACAAGCATGCCAATACATGTGCAATAGAAATATCAGAAATAGAGGAGACAGAAAATAGATAGAAAAATTATTTGAAGGAATAATGGCTTACAGTGTATTAAATTTGAGGAAAATAATTAATCTTTACTTTCAAGAATTTAATCAAGTTCCAAATAGGATAAATACAAAGAAATCCACACCCAGGCCCTCATGATCAAAATTTTGAAACCAAGAGAAAATTTTAAAAGTGGCAAGAGAAATGTGACACATTCTATATACAGGTTACAACTAATGACTGGCTTCTCATCTAAAATAATGAAGGCCAGAGGCAATGGAATGACATGCTCAAAGTGCTGAAAGAGAAAAATATTAACCAATATTCTATATCCACTGAAATTATCCTATAAAAATTAAGGCAAAATAAAGATTTTCCCATATCAATGAAATATGAAAGAATCTGTTGCTAACAGACCTGTCTTACAAGTAATCATAAAGGTAGTCCTTTATCTGAAAGGAAAAATGACTACCAAATGGTAACTTGTAAAGAAATAAAAGAAAGAAATAAAAAGCACCAGAAATGGTAAATATATGGGTTAATATGAAGTACTCTATAAATATATTTTTCTTATTTTTACCTAGCTTATTTTAAAGATATAATATTGTATAAAGCAATAATTATAATGCTATTTTATTGGGAGTATAGATATAATATATATGATAACAAAGGGGGATGGAGGAAATAGAGATATATTGGGTCA